AGAGATGAGGAGTCCAACCCCGGGATGCTAATGGGTCGGGTACCCCAGCCCAGCGTCCCAGGGGGACCCCACCTGTACCGTGGGAAAGGGTTGTAGGGTGTTGAGGGATCCCAAGGGCATTGCATCCATGGGGATTCAAGAGCTGGGGTGACTTCTCCGTGGGATGAAGCAGAGGGGTTTCCCCAGGATGAAGAAGCCGGCAGCTCCTCCCGGCCCCCGGGACGGCTGGGCTCCCCTGGCCCCTCTGCTCCCGGCCCCGGGCAGCTCTCCGGGGAGCATCGCGCTCTCCGTACCGCTGGAAAAAATCTCCATATAAGGAGCGGATGGGGATACGTGAGCTGAGCCGAGCCGAGCCAAACCGCCCCATGGGAGCCCCAACCAGGCAGCCCCATGCTCAGGCCGGTGCCCGGGGGCCGTGTCCTCCATCGAGCACCCCCCCCCCCGGGGTCAGGTGGCCCCCACACTGCTAACCCCAGCGCAAATGGGAGCGAACCCGCTGTGCCACCCCGGAGCCGTGTCACCCCAGAGCCGTGTCACACCATCCTCCCCGTAACTCCCCCCTTCCCCACTCTGCCACCCCACACACACACACACAACACCACCCGCGCCCCCGCTGGCACCCAGGCTGCCTGCTGCAAGGGGAGGGTCGTCCCCATCAGTGCCATGCGTGGGGTCTGAGCCACTCCAGCCACACGGGGCAATGTCCCAGGCAGATGCCCTCGCCCCCGTGCAAGAGGGGAAGGGCAGGGGCTCAGGCAGGGGGTGGCATCGGTGACAGAGCACGCAGAGCCAGGAGCAGCTCCCCGAAGGGATGCTCTTGCTGTGTCCATGGGGTTGTGCTCTGCCTCCCCTCGCTAGCAGGGACAGGGCCGTCCCTCGGGGGTCTCTATTCCCCACAGGGAGGTGAAGCACCCCTGGGTGCACCCAAAGCCTTGGGCAGCACGGGGCACTCAGACCGCGCTCCCACCCAAACACCCTTTCCAGCCCTTTTTCTCCATAAATCATTTCCATCCTGCCCTGCAAAAAAGGAAGGTGGCACTTGGGGAAGGTGGGGTGGCTCTGCATGGCAGCCCCCCACCCTGAGCATGCAGCGCTCCCAGGTCCTGCAGGACGCGGCCACCCCGGCCCCCGGCCCACCACGCTGCCGACCCAGCGAGACAGAGGAGGAGGAGGTGGAGGGGAGGGCTGGGAAATTAAGGTTTTCAGCGCTGTCAGAGCCACATCAAACAGGCATCCACCAGCTGATTGCTTGATTGTTATATTTTGGATGTCAAACCGGAGCAAGCAGAAACCTTTAAAATGCATCAGTGCCACTGCCTTTTTGACGGAGGGTGTTGGTTTCCCATTAACAAGTGGAAAGCGTGAGCTGGAGCAGAAAACTTCAAGCGCTTTGGAATTGATAAAATAACAACTCCCTAATTAAGCTGATCTGTCAGTCAACGGGCGCCTGCTGCCCTGCATGGGGAAGCATCAGCGGCAGCTCCCAGTGCACGAGCCCGACGTGCCGGCCCAGCCCGCTGCGGCATGGGGAGCACCGGGGGATGCTCAGCCCCGGGGGGACAGCGGCCAGAGCATCCCACCCTCCCCACTAGATAGCCCTGGGTCCTGGTCCTGGGGCTGAGCATGGCCAAGGTGTTTAGATGCTGTGCCTTGGTTTACCTCACCCTAAAACCACGTAATGCAACCCGTAGCTTGGTGGGGAAGGAGAGGCCTGACCCCAAAATGCATCCCGTACCCGCATCCTTCCCCTCCAAGAGGTAACCAACCAGCCCGGGGCAACGCATCCCCCATGGACACATCAGACACCACCGACAGGCACGGGGGCAGCATCCCCATGGCCGGTTGGATGAGGGAAGGGGTCCTGCTGGGAACACGTCCCCAATGCCAGAGCAGGGCAGGGCGGGTTGGAGAAGTCCTGCCCGACCACCCTGGGGGTGTCCGTCCCGCCGGCCGGGGCTGCCAGCCCTCCGCCGTCCTGCTCTCCACGGCACGGGGGAGACTGCAAAGGAGCTAATTAAAGGAGCAGCCCATTACCCGAGACCCCCCTCCGACACCGCTGTGCTGGGTAATGAAACGCTATAAATCTGCAATGCTTCTCCCAGGCCTGGGGCAGGAGGGACGTGGCATCTCCAGGGGCTCTTTAATAAGCCGCCAGCAGCTCGTTACTACAAAATTGACTGCCCAGCGCTCTGGATGCTCCCCCAGCACTGGGAGCTGCCGGCCTGCCCTGGGGAGGGACGCTGGGGACACCCAGGGGGTGCAGGGCAGGGGACAGCCAGGAGGGACACAGGGCTGCGGGGAAGGTGTTTAACCCCTGACACGCTGGTGTGCAATGAGGCCGCCGCGCAAAGGGGGGTCTCCACACACCGCTTCTCGCCCCGGGGCTCCTGCCAGCCCTTCCACCGCCCCCCCCGAGCTGGGAATGGGTTACCCGCGGCATCAGGACAGGTCCTGGGGTACTGTGGCTGGTGCGACCCGGCGTGCAGGTGGGTCAGGCAGAGCATTTCGCCAGGCAGCCCGCGTTCCTCCCGTCTGCTCTGCAGCCGGCCGAGTGCTGGGCTGGGAGGTTTAAGCCCCAGTAGTCGTGGCCGCCCACAGCCCATGGGAAGATCGGCAGAGCCACAGTGGAGCTGCTGCGACCCAGAGATACGCCAGGAAGATGGAGAGCATCCCATCCCGGGTGCATCCCAGCAAGCCCACCCGAGCGCGTGGCTCCTGCAAACGCCCCTTCGTGCCCCAGAGCCGCTGGATGCTGAGCCTGTCCTCCCCCATCGCACAGCACACACCACGAAGCCTCCAGACACACAGTCGCCTCGAGGAAGCCACCAAACCCCCATGACGGGTGACAGGGCTCCATTGGTAGCACCCCAGGCAGCGCATGTATAGGGACACAGGCCCGGCACCATCCCCACGCCAAGGGACACCAAGGGAGGGTGTGGGGGGCAAGGGACAGGGCTGGACAACCCACGGTGCTCCCACACGCTCCCTGGTGGAGGCTTTGCCGGGAGCAGGGGTTGGCTTACGGGTCCCCCCTGGCTCTGGGACACATCAGGGGAACCCCCCGGGTGACAGTTGACTCGGGGAAAGGCCACTCCTGCTTCGCCGTGAGGATGCCCTCGGGGGTCGCCTCTGCCAGGAGGGATGCGGGCAGGCAGCGCTGCCGTCACAGCCCATCCTCACCCCGGGGCCAAAGCCGGTGCCGGCGTAGGCGGGACGGGAAGCCCTGTGCCACCTTGCACACTCGCACAGACACACCCGCACGTTGTCACCGTCCCCTGTGCACGCCCTGGCATGCCCAGAGAGGACACGGGTCGCTCCTCCATCCCATGCTGCAGGGGGATCCAACCCCAGTACTCGCCTGTGACAAGGATGGCTGTCCCCGGCCAGGGTCCTTCCCACCCAGGGTGGGCTTTGCTCCACGGCTTTGGCTCCTGTGCCAGCGCTGGGACACACGAGGATCCCCCTTCCCTGCTGCTGCCCAGCTACAGCTGGGCACAAGAACTTGGTCACAGCGACGTCCCCTCGCCCTCGCTCCCCCGGGCTGCCCTGCAGGGACACGCAGCCAGGGGGTCCCCAACCATCCCACAACCCCAGGTGACACACACAGCTGCCCAGGAATCCCTTTGCTCCTCATCCCAGCCCTCCCAGCCGCCAGTCCAGAGCCCAGACAAACCTCTGCATCGTGTCCCCAGACCCCATCAGTGTGTGCCCCACACTGTCCCCAGCGGGTGCCAGTCTCCCTCAACACATGCCCGAGGCCACGCAGGTCTCAGCCCCCACGCAACCCCCACCTCCTGCGACCTCCGCAGCCCCTGGGTGACTCTCCACACTGGGGGGGACGCCGCCTGCCCCCTGCCCACCCACGACCAGTGAACGAAGGCAGAGAGGACGCCCAGCTGCCACGCAACACCAGCTCCCACGGCCCGGCCGCAGGTACCGCAGACAGACAGAATCCGCTCTCCCTGCCCCAAAAGAGCCCCGTTTGCAACCAAGAAGGACATCCCCGGTGGGCCGGGTCCGGCCACCTCCAACAGAGCCAGGGCACATCGTGCCAGGACCACATGCTGGTATTAGAGCCCCCAAAGCCTCGTTACACACTAATCACACTGGAGGTGACAGGGCTTAGGGGAGGGCTTAAGAGAAACCGTCTCCTTTTTACTGACACCATCTGGACACAGGTTTTCTCTTTCCCCCTTCCCGGCGCGGAGCCGGGAAAGTGCCAGCCGGAGGGGCCAGTGTGACCCCCGCCAGGACCCGGCACCCTCGCCTGGTGCTGGAATGGTGGGTGCCATGCCGCCCCAGCTGGCACCGAGCGAGGGGGGGATTGCTCCCTGTGCCAGGGATTTCTGACCAGCCCAGGGTGCCCGGCGGGACCAGAGCCAGCCTGGAGCCGTGGGGGCCCTGCGCTGCCTGTGTGGCCCCCCGGGGAGGGGGACGCGGCCCCAGGGAAAGCGAGGGCTGAGTTGGGGGAGACGCACTGGGTAAAAGCGCGTCTTTTTACCCAGCACTGGGTAAAAGCCAGCCCAGAGACACCTGCTTGGGAACAGCCCTCCCTCCGGCTGTCCTCCCAGGCATGCCACCGGCACTGAGGGACCCGGCACGGCTGGGGTGCCTGCAGAGAGGGACAGGCAGAGCTGTGGCAGCGGGATTGTCATTCACTGTACCCCGGTGCTCGCAGGCCAGCGGGAGAGCTGACCACAGCCACCCTCCCCACCGCCATCCCCCTCTCCCTGCCCTCCCCCGGGGAGGATGGCGGCATGGCGCTCCGGCTCCATGTCACCCAGCCCAAGGCCAGTGGGTGAACCGGGGACAAGATCACAACGGTTCCAACGCGCAACATCGCAAGGCACCGGCTCTCCCCCAAACTTAACCCAGCCCTTTTCCCCCCCAACCACGAGGAAAGCTGCGGGTGCCCCGGGGGGAGCATCCAAGCCCCAGTATGCCTTCGGGAGCAGCAGTGGAAAGTTACGCTGGGGTTCGGGTCAGGGGGGGTCAGGTACCTTCCATCCGGCGGAGCTGTTGCTGTCTCCTTTATCCTTAAAGTAGGGGACGTATCGCACCATCCAGTCGTAGATCTGGGAGAGGGTGAGGCGCTTCTCCGGCGAGCTCTCGATGGCTTTGGTGATGAGGTCGGCGTAGGAGAGGTTGCCCCAGGCGTTCCTCC